TTTAAATTCCCATTGATAAGAAAGGGCAATAACGTGTGTGTTACATTTCATAAGAATAATACAAGAACTCACCTCAACATTTAAAGGCCCATCCGCTTTCACAGTACCCTCAATAACCAAGGAACATGCAGCTTCTCCCAAACACTGGCCTTTACTGACAACTTTTACTCTAGCATCCACCAATTTAGTAGAAAAGACTAAAGCCCTTGCAGGGCCTCCTGCTGCACCATCTGCATGAACTTCAGCTGAAGTAGCTAAGAGTGACCAAGGGTTTTCAGTGGTACCGTTATGAATGGTGATTGAAGCATTGAATACATGGACGCCCATGAACTGTTAAAAGAATGGGTACAATTAAATTGCGTTTGATTCGTCTTGCAGTCACCTTGCATCAGGGCCTCAATTCTGCTATTTTAATATTGTATCAATAGACTGTCGATGGAATGTCGTCGGAATAGTTTTGAAGTTTTCTTATTCTACTAACTATGTAAGACCAATGGCCCCCCGATGACTTGTCACCAATATGAATGTCGTCGATGTCTTTGTAATAGTTTGGTACACGGTACATTTTAAATTTGTACGAAAATGATATATTTGATTTTCATAATATGGCAATATTGTTGATATCACCATTAATGACCTATAAATTTGTGTTAGTAGAATACCGATATTTTGACTTGTGTCAGTGGCATCTCAATGGCACCTCAATAGCGTATCAATGGAATGACCCTGGCTTGACGTTAACATAAAATAGCATAAGTGAGGCCCAGGTGAGTTACTTTGTGCCAGTTAATACTGCATGTCACTTTCTCTTGTTAAGAACTTTTAGAAAGGAGTCTTATATAACATAAAGATAGTAATGGTATCAATTTTTTTTTTTAAAGACAACTCCCGCAAGTATAGCCTATGTCGCGGGAACTTTACAGACACACATGAAACGGACACAAAGAACACCCAGACTCAGAACAACAATTTGTGCATCACACAAAGTATAGTCCCATGTGGGAATCGGACCCACAGCACTCAGCCTAGTAGGAAGCGGCGTGGCGACCGCTTAAACCACTACGGCATCCGTGCAGTATATTTAAAGAAATACATATTTACTAAAATTATGACTGTTTACGTTACGTTTTATGAAAAGATTTCATCTACGCAAGACGAGCGGAGCACGAACTGAGCAGTTGACTCGGCTCGAGTAGATCCATCTTAAGAAATGGTTGTCAATCTCAAAAATATCATGAATGCTTTTAATATAAAAGATTTTATTAAAATCGGTCTAGCCGTTTCTGAGCAGTGCTACAACAAACACCTTGACATAAGATATTTATAATATATTAGATTTACATAAGTTATATAATATATACATAAATTACCTACAAATATATATATATATACATAATATTACATGCATAATTATACATTTTTTATTTTATTTATTTTGGGTCTCCAACAAATGATACACATTTCTACAATAATTAAAAAATATACAAAAACATGCATTGTGCTCGTTCAGTTATAGGCAATCACAACTAACATTAGTAAAACTTGTACCATTCTAAAATAAAACATGATGGCATAATAATAGGAATAAAAGAAAATGAAAACAATTAGGTAAAAAAAGAAGATATTAAAAAATATGTATATCAAAAACCACATATCACGGACTATAAATCCAAACCTAGATGAACTTGTGCTCACCCAAGTTTGGACTCAAGATAGTCTGTGTTCTTTTTTCAAATTATGCAAACTATCTCAACATTAGTTCAGGACAATCTATATTATGGTTAACATTGTTGTATAGGAATAAAAGATCAATGAGTTTGCGTCTACCTATATATACCTATATGTATTTGACGTGATCATACAATGTAAATATGTATAGAAAGATATTACATAACTCTGAACTGCCCGCCTCATCAAACAAGTTGCATTGTGGCCACAGGCCACATGGATACATTGTATTGTCTATAAATCAAATCAAATATAATTTCTTTTATATGTAGTAAATTAACGTTTATTTGTTCGTTAGAATGACATTCATTGGAATATATATGTTTTCGTATATAATAATAATAATAATAATAAAATTTAATGGATGTAGAAGTGGGAGCCGTGGCACTAAAGACCTCCTTATTATAGACAGGGCCATTAGCCAACAGGTGCGTCGTAATCGTAAGAGTTTGGCGACATGTTGGATAGACTATAAGAAGGCTTATGACTCGGTTCCACATACATGGCTTTTGAGGGTGCTGGAGTTGTATAAAATTGATACAACTCTGTGCACTTTCTTGAAGTCATGTATGGGGCAATGGAGAACAGCGCTTCGTTATCCAGGATGTCGGCAGACGACGGTAATTGATGCACCAATAAAGATCGAGCGGGGTATATTTCAAGGTGATAGTCTGAGTCCCTTGTGGTTTTGCCTGGCTTTGAACCCTCTTAGCACTTTATTAGAGGGTTCAGGGCTAGGCTATAGGTTGCAGAAAGATGATCAAGTTATATCTCACCTTCTTTATGTGGATGATTTGAAACTACTAGCCCCCACCAAATTACAATTGTCAGCGTTACTAAAGGTGACGGAAAACTTTAGTAATTCTATCAAAATGGAATTTGGTGTAGACAAGTGTGCAGTCATGTATGTAAAGAAAGGTGAGATAGTAGAATCTGAAGGAATAGAGCTTTCCGATTCAACAAAACTCAGATCTCTGTCTGCCACTGAAACTTACAAGTATTTGGGTATATCACAGTCGTTAGGCATACCAGAATCTGACATGAAACAAACGTTGCAGGAACGCTTTTTTGGCCGCTTGAAAAAAGTACTTAAAAGTCTTTTATCAGGGGGCAACAAGGTGCGAGCCTGCAATGGTTGGATCATGCCGATTCTGATGTATTCCTTTGGTATACTTAAATGGACTCAGACCGAACTAGATGCCCTTGATAGGAGAGTCCGTACATTGCTGACTACATTTCGAATGCACCACCCACGTTCATCGGTTATGAGATTGTATATCCCGCGAAAGCTAGGGGGTCGCGGATTATTAAATATCAAGACCCTACACAATCGGGAGATATGCAATCTCAGAGAATATTTTCTACATACCGATGTGGGAATGCATCGTAATGTAGTTGCAGTGGATATCGGATTCACCCCGCTCGCTCTGGCTAAAGAGAATTGGCGCAAACCTGTAGTATTTAGTACTAATGATCGTAGGGAAGTATGGAAGGGCAAAGAGCTCCATGGTCGGTTTTATCGGGCCCTAAACGGGTCCGATATAGACTTTAAAGCATCTACGACTTGGCTACGGTATGGTGATCTCTTCGGAGAAACTGAAGGTTTTGTTTGTGCGATTATGGACGAAGTTATCATGACGAATAACTATCGGAAATATATCCTGAAAGATGGTACGGTTGACATCTGTCGGGCATGTCACCGTCCTGGGGAATCAATTAGGCATATCATTTCTGGTTGTTCTCGTCTTGCTAACGGTGAATATTTGCATAGGCACAACCAAGTAGCCAGGATTGTACACCAACAGCTTGCCCTTAAATACCATCTTGTGAATCTAGAGGTGCCATACTACAGGTATGTGCCCGACCCAGTTCTCGAGAATGGTCGGGCCACGTTGTATTGGGATCGATCTATTATCACAGACAGGACTATTGTTGCTAATAAGCCTGACATTGTAGTGATAGATCGATTAGAGCGCCGCGCAATGATTGTTGATATAGCCGTTCCTCATGACGAGAATCTCGTGAAAGTTGAAAAAGAAAAACAAATAAAATATTTGGATTTATCTCACGAGATTGTCGATATGTGGAATGTCGATTCAGTGATAATTGTTCCGATAGTCGTATCTGCTCACGGATTGATAGCCAAGAGCCTCGACCAACACCTTAAGAGGCTCACGTTGGACGGCTGGATCAAGGGTCTGATACAGAAGGCAGTCCTCCTTGACACGGCTCGTATAGTGAGGAGGTTCCTATCTTTGCAGTCCTAACCACTGGTGTCTTGGTACCTGTACCCGATGTCGGTGGTCTACTATTTTTTATATTTTTAAATGTATTTTTATTTCTTTTGTAATATATTTAAAAATGTAATTAATATGTATATATAATTTAATAAAGAGAATAATAATAAATCTTTTTATTGTACACCAGGTATAAATATATAAAGATTAACTTAAGCTAGGTTAGACAGGTACAAATGGCGGCCTTATCGCTCAGAGGCAATCTCTTACAGGCAACCTTGGTATGGAGAGAAAAACATAAAGGCAAGGAGGTGTAGGGTAGTGGCTGGTGTACTAAGAAAATACGAGTAGATTAGAAGAGGAAATCAATGTAGCATCTATATAAATATTAAAAAAAAAGTGATAATTACAAAAAAATAACTGGTAGGACTAGGTCTAGGACTCTGATACGACTTAGGTGAATATATGACATAGTTACTAGAAGGAATATGCCATGGGTATTTCTCATGAAATTTAAAAATTTGAGATATTATTGAAATTGTTTTAATTTTTATAAACATAGATCATTTTTTGCAGAGATCAAAAAAGTTGCTTTAAGAGATCTATTTAGGAGTATTGGTCTTCCATATTTTTGAATATAATCTCTAAAAAATGATGTTTAAAAAGAAAATAAAATGAGGGAATGATTAACAGAATGAGGGAATGATTTATTATTACATTATAATGAAAAACATGTACAGATAAAGGAAATGATGTAATTGTTATTATATTAAACAATAAAATATCATATTCTAAAGAAAATCAACTCAAAGCTTTGTACTTGTAGTCAATATAAATATATATAAACTCAAAAAATTAACAAATACACTATTATAGAGGTAACAAATGTTTTTATCTTCATACTTATCACTATTTATTTTTAAACTTTGTACTTAGCATTTCTGCAAAACTTAAAATGTCTTTATAATTATTTATATATTAATATGTAATTAGTCTTTTCTTGCATTAGTTTTTCTTGTCTTTGAGATCAATGAATTATTCAGTCTTCACATCACTTGTAGAGTTTTCTAACTCTGTAATAATGTAATTCCCCCTCTTAACTAATTTTGGTGTCTTTATTTTCTGAATCACATCTTCCCAGCTATATAATTGCTCATCTTTAATATTAGGCCATCTCCAAAACTTCAAACCTTGCTTCATGCACCTAACCATTAAACCATCTTCAAAAACAGATAAAACTTCCCCGGGATACTTTGCCGTACCCCATTTCATCAGGACATAATCTCCAATGGTAGCAATCTTATCACTATCTGAGCCAACAGTAGATCCCACATTTTCTAAATCAATTGTATCATTTTCCTTAAACAATCCAGTATGACCTTGAATGCGTGAACACGACGCTAAAGACAGTTGGTGATTATCGTTCACTATATCCAATTTCATTGACTTTTGCGGAGATTTGTTACGCCTCTTAGTAAATCGATTACTTTGGTGTTGTTGAAAATATCCAAATGATAGTGGGTACAATCTTCTTCGCAATCTATGCATGAAAGTCTTCTGCACTGTAAGGTGTTGTTAAAAAATACGAACTGGCGTATTTTTTGTGTTCCCCGGAAAGTAGCAATAGTCCTGGACTGTTTTATGAGATTATCCATCAGTGAAATATCTGCTGTGGTAACTTCAAACAATAAAATAGAAGGACACCTGGATTGAAGGATAGGTTTCAATGAATTCAGGTCTACGATATCATGGCCTTCTGCCACGACTTTATCAGCTGTCCGTTTCAGGGTTCCACCGACACCGTCAGGCGCTCCCTTACCGTGCCCGGGTTCATACATTACATTCTTTAGGAGCGCATTTACTTTAGTTGCAGGCGCTTCTGGATCAGTTTTTTGTGTTTTCACTCTCAAATACCTCTTCTTGTATTTTTTGCTTAACTTCACCGCATTCTTCATTCTTTTTTCCAAAGTTACAATCTTTGCATACAAAATAGCTCGTCGCTTTCGCATCTGTCGTCTATTTCGAGCAGCTACATCTTCTCTAATTTGCTGCACAACTGATATTGGACTTAGTGGGGGTGTATCATCAAGTATTCTTTGTAAATTTCGGTGTGCTATAGCTTTTTTATTCCTATATACTTTACTATTTTCTTTCCATTGTTTTCGCTTTTGTCTATGTTCTCTAGCATTCATATGAGTAACTGATTTTACCTGACCCTTCTCTTTTTTCTTTAAATATTTTAATCTTTCTTTTTCCCTCAGTTTTTCCAAAGATTCAGTATTATTTTTCATTTTTTCTCGCCTTTTTCTATCATACTCTTTCTTTTTTAATTTTTTTTCTGCATCACTCAATTTCTTTGGTCGTGGCATTTTTCTTCCACATATATGTACCTGTTTCAAATTAAATACCATGAAATACAAATTACACGAAATAAATAAAAAATCTAAAATACTGTATAAATCATTCCCTCATACAATCGTAATTCCCTCACTCCTAAATGCAGTGAGGGAATGACTGTGAGGGAATGACGAATTTTAACTAAAGCTATAAAAACACACACACATTACCTCAATTTGCTTGTTACATTTTGAATATGCATTTTACTCCCAAAAACTAATAATAATCACAAATTATATACATATATACAAAAATGCTTAATACATACATGTAACGTGAGGTAATGATCGCCATAAATGTAACTCTTAACAATTTTTAACATGATATGTTTTTGCACAAACTTACCTACGGTTGAGAAGAAATCGGCATCTTGAATTATTTTAGAGTGTTGCCAGGTACTAAAAACTTAAGGCTGCGTTCCTAAATATCGTTCGATACGTTCAGAAATCGAATATTCGTAATAGGGTGAGGGAATGATTTTATTTGGTGGGACATATTCAAAATCGAATTATCGTTTTGATAAATTCGTCGTTGTAAGATGAAAGCTTTTATAGACAATAACAAACATCTTTAAAATATATTAGCATAATTTCATTATTAAGAATATTGATATATTTGAGATGAATAGGCATTTTAGTAACGTTGTTGAACTAAGGGACAAGGTGGGGGAATGACTTTCACGGTAACAAAGTAGTCATATCTTTTTTTTCTTTAGAGGTAATACGTTTTCTTTTTAAACAATAGTGTTATAGACAGCGTGCATTGAAATAAAAAAAAAGACTTACTTAGTTAATGCATATGACTCGGTACTATTGACTCGGGAATCAAATTTCGAAATTTGATGAGAAATACCCACTATATGCTAAATAAGACTAGTGGTGTTATTAGATACATACAAGTAAATAAATAAAATAATGTGATTTATAAATACACGCAAATGTATATTCTTAAATATATCTATAATATATATTAATAATATACAAATAATAATACAAATATATATACTTAAATATAAGAAATAATGTAACCTTATTGACTTAGAAGGCGGTTAATAATTATTGTACATTTATGTCTCCTAGGTAATGTGCTTTCACTTGTTTCTTGAAGGAATCAAGTGTTTGTGCACGTCTTATTACGACCGGTAGGGCGTTCCACAACCGAACCGCTTTAACAGAGAAGGATATACTCATATACTAAACTTTATCTAATTTAATTATGAATAAAGAACATGAGGATATAAAATAAGCCAATTAGTTCATACAAGTGATATCAGATAATAGTTTATATGGTATCTTTAATTTTATTTCACTACACAAATTTTCCTATTTGTAGCTACATTTTCAAAAACGAATTAAAATTTACTTTGTACACATTCACATCACACATCAACAGCCTTTAATAGTCCACTGCTGGAAGTAGGCCTCGCCTTAGAAAGGAGGTTTACACACATTACATTACTAAATCAAAAAAATCACAGCCAATTTAAAACCAAATAATATAACAAAAAGTAGATATTTCAACAAACACAAATAACAAAGATTTACACTGTGACAATATCTTACAAAATTTGTCAGTTAAATAACAACTTGATACATCCTACACGGCAGTCTGAACCCAAACTAAACAGAGCCTCAAGCTAGTGGTAACCGCACTGCTGATAAACATACATATTTCTAAATACTGTTGTAAATAAGAGATAAACACATAGACACAGAACAGATGATCATGCTCTTCACACCATTATTTGTCCTGAGTTTGATTACCACCCAGGACAACCAATTCGCTCTGGCTTACCAATAGGGCAGACAATAAAACCAATGTTGATCTAGGACTCTAAGATTTAATTATCCTAATTATAATCATAGAGATAATAACATAGTGATAATAAATAATGATTTACTTACTAGGGCAACTATAGTCTATATCTATACACATATTAAAATTGAAGTGTCTATTTGTAATGTTAAAATAATAGGTTTTTTTATGCTCACAAGGTTATTTGCAGGATACCTATGCCTAAAAACCAGTTTTAAATTTTTGTTTGTCCAACTGTCTGTCTGATTGCTCAGGTAATGTTCCAAACGGCTGTACCAATTTTGATAACATTTTACTAGCAGATAGCTGTCTATTTAAGGAGTAACTTAGGCTATTTTTACGCTCAGAAAAACCCTTTAAAATTTTGCTCACTCCGGAATCCCATCCCACTATGAAAGCTCTTTTCAAATTCCATGCGAAAGAACGGGTACCAGCTGGTTTATTAATAAAGGTATAGTATAAAGATAAATGTAAATATTTTATTTGAATACATACCTGTGCAAACATAGTTAAACTATGAGGCAGCTTTTTATCCCGAAAATCCAACAGCTTCTGTGTTGCTATCCTATTGAGATTATTCTCCAAATTAAAATTGGTAGACATATCATCACAGCCCTCTCTGGAGGTAGAGTTCTGTTTAGAGAGTAAAGGTTTGAGGATAGTTTCCACCACCACACTCCTCTTTTCTTCCACATTGTTAGTGATGTCAACCCCACGGATGACCACGGATACTAGTTTGTTGATCTCAGAGTTAAAACAACTGCTTTGAAAAGATATTTCATCTATGTGCTGGAACGGAGAGTGATAACTACATTTATATTAAATATACACGTACATATTAGGTATGATTCATTCATAATTGTCTTGACTTTTATATTTCTTATGTACAACATTAAAATCAGAATATTTTCAAATTAAAACTTCAACTTTTATTTTTGATAGTTGGATTTATTAATCTAGCACTATTTCACCATTTCATATACTCAGATTAAGAATATTGAATGTCTCTAACCATATTCATCCCGTGGAACATCCACGTAAGAGCAAACTATGCAGGACAAGAGAACTGCAAGAGAAGGAAAACTTGGAACCAACAAACCTATTCAAACCAGCGTGATTTGGTAGGCCAAAACCTCCTTTCTAAGGCCTATGCCCAGCGGTGGACTATAAAACGCTGTTGAAGATGATAATGATGACCAGAGTTCAAACTCTCTATATTCATAAGAATAACTGTAAAGCCACATTTATAGTGATGTGTAGGTCAGAGAAATATTTATAATTGTAAACAGACATAATAAACCTTAATAAGATGTACATCTTCTTTTAATTACAAAGACAATATAAAATAATTACCAAAACCTAAACAGTAGCTAAATCTAATTGGAAACCAGTAAGAATCTAAAACAAAGTATGAATATCGCGGCTTCAACATGTATAGTATAATTTGCTGTAAACAAAGTGTTAATTAAGTTGACGTAACTTACAATTGAATATCTTTCTTTCGATAGGCTTACATCTTTTAATATCAACTTGGGCACCGCAATCCTCCCTATCTTCAGTTTTATATTGTACTTTCTCATAAACAGCCATGCCAGTAAATTCGGCAACAGCCTAAAAATATATCAATATGTTACCAAAATAGTAAACAAAACACAAAACAATAATAAAAATAGCGGTGTCATCGTACCATTGATTACTTACCACGATACACATGAATAAATAAATATAAATATGAAAAACAAAATCAGAAGGACGTTCATGTTTGAACGGTTATCTCATTTTGTTAAATCATTCGCCAAGGAACTAAGTAAATAATCTACTAGATGTAGTAGATGGAAACTCAGGCTGAGATAATAACCTCGAATTGTATACGAACTTTCATCTGTCAACGTCAAACGCCAATCTTACAACGTTCTGAAATTATTTCTGGTGCACTACTTTCTTTTATTACTCAACTACGAGTAGTACCCGTTCTTGGAATAACTTACAAGTTTCTTTAAATATGCCATGCTATAAGGCCACAGATTAGTAACTTAACTCAATTTGTATGCATATAAGTATTTAGTGACTACAAATTAAAGGTACAGGAGAGAGAAAGACTAACTCTCAAGCCTCAACTAATATAAGCAAATAGCAGACGGGTCACCTGATGACAAGTAACTAGTGCCATCAATGGACACCTGCAACTAAAGAGTCATAAGTGCATTTATACTGTGTAGAGTACTTACTACCTATTTTCTTAATGAGGTATAGGTAAAAAGGTAAATGAGGATGGCTACCATATCCAAAATATTAGTTTCTACTTAGCCAAGTCCAAACAAATAGTTTTAAAATACACACAAGTGTATAAAATCTTTAATTCTCTAGATCTTCATAACAGCGGATTAAATACCGCTTTACTAGAAAACTCGCTCTTGACAATTTAAATGTATCTTCTGTGTAAAACCATGCAACTACTATAGATTAGGCGTCAGGTAATCTTTCTAGGGTATACCTGGTTCCCCGGCTATTAGTACCTGAGACGGCGTGCGGTTTTAGTCGGTTCGAGTCCGACATGCCACCGTGGTGGTATCCGAGGGGGAAAAAAAAAAAGAAAAAGGGTAAAGAAAACCAAAAATATGTGGAACAACAAACATTCCTTCGAAATTTCATTTTTTCCTTACTATGGCATTTTTCTTTATTAAAATAATACGTGGAGCTACGTATCGGGTATTACAACGTAATTCTTGAGCCTTATGAAGTCACCAACAATTTTTCATTTCTCGCATTTTTTTTTTGAGGATCTGGTAAAGTGTTTTCCGTTGCTGATCACTGTGGACGTACCTAAGCCACAATCACAACGAGTACGATACGATTCCGTATTTCTGTATCTGAGTCGTCGAACCAGTCTTGTTTTTCTTCAGCAGTTTACCCACAACTAGTTGGGCGACTTTATGCAAGTTATCAGCAATGGAACGCCAGGCAGCGTCAACCGGCAGGATATTTTTAATGTATTTAATACAAGACTAAGCAGCTTCAAACTCTGCGTTAAGTTGTTGTCTGAGATTCTCGTCATTCATGAGCCTTGAGAACGCCAGTCTTGCAGACACGCTGTGTTCTGCTCCGCGAAGGTTTGGTGTAGAGCCTCATTTTAACTTGAGCACCACGCATTGCTCGAGTAATCAGTACTTAATTCAGGTCTTGCCTTCGGAATAAAATAAAAATAAATAGGTATATAACTCAAGAATAGCGCGTACTACACACCTATAAATTTACTACCATTTAGTGTATTTCATGAGGATGTGGAGCAATGAATGATTATTACTAATTTTATTCATAAATCACTACAGATTATAAAACACGGCTATCTGTTCGAGAGAAACTCAAAAACGGCTGAACAGATTTTAATGCGGTTTTCACTACTAGATAATGAGGGTGTACAATTTGTTAAGGTTTTGTGTTATAATAATGCTCTACAACCCGTGTAGTGCGAATCCACAGCGGCTAGCTAGTATTATTATAAAAACAGTTTATTTTTTTTACATTTAATTGACGAAAATTCATCTCGTAAGCATATTTAATTATTAAGTTAATGCTGATAATAACTGTATTCGAAGAAAGTAAGGGTAGCTGCCTGCATTCAATACAGTTCGTCACAATCGTCAGTCAGGTCTCACATCTCGACGAGTTTGATTACATCTACCTAGTTTTTTTTTTAAAAGACAACTACCGCATTAGGAATATATCCTGTGTACCGGAAGACTTTACAAACATATATGAAACGGACATAAAGAACACCCAAACTCAGAACAACAATTTGTGATTTACACAATGTGTTATCCCATGTGAGGATAAAACCCACAACACTCAGAGTAGTAGGAAGCGGCCTGGCGACTGCGAGGTATAGAGTTTATGGCTTTCCTGTCAATATTTGTATTGTCGAAGAAATCGATGTTGTTTTCTTCGATTCGATATGGATATATGTAATATAATATATAATATAAATATAATATGGATATTTTGATTACGTTCTTTGAGAAGGAAGCCGTTGTAAGAAAAAAAAAATATTTTAAAATTTTATTAACAACTATACTAAACAGATTACAATTAATAAAGTACAAGAACTCAGCTCACGGCCAAGATCGCTTGGCCTCATATCCTTCATATTTCTTTTTTGTCTTCAACCCTGAGACTATAGTGGAGCTCTTGGGGAATGCTGACAGGCCGCCAAACTTGGTATCTTTTTCTGAAATAAAAATATATATATAAAGACATATGGCGATTGTTACATTTAAGGCACTCTTCAAGAATCTAATATTATATTATAATAGGGGAGGTCCTTTACACTTTCACAGACAGCTGAGCAATGACTACCCAAGTATAAGCATAGTGCTACGTGCCTTAGTGACGTGACAACTGACTGACTATGTCCATACTTTACAAAAATCTTGTTTAGAATTAAGACTATTTTACACATATTTATAATTTTATTTTATTTTATCTTTTTTTTTATGGAATATGGGGCAAACGAGCAGACGGGTCACCTGATGGAGAGCGACTACTCAGGAGTCACAGGCGCGTTGCCGGCCTTCTCGTTGGCTTTACCACTCTAACAATCACAACCTGGGCTATATGGGTTGGTATAAAGTTTGTTTTTAAGTTTACCTTCTCTAAGCTCCCTTAGTCCCCTCTTACTACACCCACGGGATGAATAGGGGTGACACTCTGTATTCTTAATCCATCACCTATGGATAACATGTTAAAATAATGTAACAATATAATTTTACTAACCAGGGTGGAATCTTACAACATCAGGCTGAACATGCAAGTTCTTTGGGAGATCCATTCTTTTCAGAGCTTCAAATGGTGTAGCTTTGTCCACTGGAGTGCTGTAGAAGTCTTGCAGGTCGTCTGAAATAGGTTGGGACCAATTAAAAATCAACTTTGTAATGTTATTCTGCCTTATTGCTGTTTGTCAGTCGTCAATGTACAAAAAACTAAAACTGTGTATAAATTTAATAGTTTATGCTACAGGCTTTGAAGATAAATCACACTACATCACAGCCTTTACTAGTCCACTGCTGGACATAGGCCTCTCCTTAGAAAGGAGGTTTTGGCCTACTATACCACGCTGGTCAGATGAGTTGATATAGGGTTCTTTTCAAGTTTTTTCTCTTTGCAGTACTGTGAAGTTTGATCCCTTACTCGGTTCTTACGATACCTAGGGATGAATAGGGGATGACACTGTATAAGATATATGCCTAGTTTTAACACACCAGATTTCTTAATATTTTATGTAACATGGTGATCTTCATACTTTTTAAACCATAAAAAAAATAAGGATATGAGGATAAGAGGTTTCTCCTTTTTATGCTTGTTACCTCTGTACTCCTTCATTTTTTTTTTTTTTTTGCCAGAGTGTACTACCTGTTTAGTCTTATTAAAATTTAGAAAAAAAGAAACCTTTAGGAGTAGAAAATAAAGTACATTTATTACAATCTAGGTGCAGTGAAGTTGGTGACTCTTACTAAAAGTTGTTGTTCTTTTATAATTTGCATACTAAAACATAGCCATATCAGTGATAATGTAGCTTTCTATTGGTAAAATAATTTTAAAAATTGGTAATTGGTTGAAAATTAAAAAAAAAACTCAGTTTAATATATATATATATATATATATAAGAGATTTCCACATATATAGTCACTCATCACGATATCTCTCTTGAAATTTGGTAGGAATATTCTTTTCACCGAGTAGAGGTCAGCTAAGAACGGTTTTTACGAAATTCCACCCCCAGAGAGCTGTGCTAAATTTTTTTTGGCAAAACAACGTTTGCAGGGTCAGCTAGTTTATAATATAAGTATTGAAGTATAGATTTGTTTGTTTGAACACTAATTGAACTAATTAACTGATTTAAAAAAGACCTTTAAGGCATTTTTTTTTATGGTATAAGGGGGTAAACGAGCAGACGGGTCACCTGATGGTAAGCAACCACCGCCGCTCATGGACACCTGCAACTCAAAAGTCACAATTGCGTTGCTGCCCTTGGAGTCAAGTCAGCGGTAGGGGGGATTTGGGCTCCGGTAACCTCACTCACTCAGTGAAAGGCAACTAAAGAATATAACATAAAGAACATACCAACACTTTCAATTGAATGCAAACGTGAGTTAGGTACATCATATCCAGTCTCCTCAAAACATGCCTTCAAGACTGCATATTTTTTTTCTAAAGCATCGAATGTTGAGTTCGGTTTTAAACCATGGCTGGTGCAAATTTTTGCGATTGTCTCCTCTATATTTGCTGGTGGGTCCCACCCTTTTGTGGGGCGGAGAAATCTGTTGGCAATAAAGATCAACTTGATTAAGGGTGATTTAGCAAAAGGATTCCAATTAGAAAAACATAATCTTTTTAATCATAATCTAAAAGCCATGAAGTGAACTTGAGAATTATCACAATCTCCGTAAAAATAATTTAGTGAATGTGAAAAAAACGACTTTAATTTATTCCTCTCATATCAAAGACATTAAAGTACTAAAAAGACGATTCAATATTTGGTAAATGTCGCAATGAGCAAAATTAAAGGTATTATTAAACTTAGTAAAAAATGTTACCCTCTTGCAGCCAGGGACTCTGCTTCAGCTTGAAATTTTTTGTCTACTTTAGGAAACTTCTTTTGTACATGCCTTACTATTATTACCTGTAAGTTATTTGTTCTATTATTAAAAGTGGGTTTAAACGACGAATATCATTAATATAATATTAAAAAGTATAACAAGATAACCTGTAAATTTTTGCATGACGGCTGAAGTAAGTTGCGCAGCATGATCGACAATGTTCAAAATTTATTTGTAATCTTTCAGTGGTTAATAACACAATAAATAGTAAATAGCGTTATTTGAAAACTAATATATAGATAATATTTTCATTATCATTTATACCTATTTATAGTTATGTAGTTATTCCTCTTATTTTATTTTGACAGCTGTTGTACATTCCAATTTACGATAATAAATTGATCAGCAAATCATTGGTGTTCGACAAAGATTTCCTGTCTATAAAACTGTAATAAATTGGAATTAAGTTTTATATTTAAAGTTTAAATAGATATATAATAAAAATATCAAAAAACCAGGCGAATGGGCAACTTTAGTCATTATATCTTACATCTTTCATAAAAACAGTGAAAGATTCTTTTCTAATCGTGTATTGAAACGTTATTTTATTTCTAGACGAAATCAGTTTCTTCCCCAGTCCGTCTACGGCAGCACTGTCGGCTTGGGTTGTTGTTTCCTATCCGCCATTTTCCAGTCGCCATTGAAAGGTGAAAACTTCACTAAATGTCGGTGATGATTTTAAGATTTTGAGTGGTTTCTTTAAGATTGAACCTGTTTTTAGTGTTGTGAAATGAAAATGAAGTGCCCCGGACTACCATGACGCATCAAAATCACCAAACAAACGGTGCAAGTCTCGAGGATTGCCACACAAACTTCTTCGCCTTGGTAAGTCACTTTTACATTGATGAAAGAACTCGTATGTACTTTTCTTTCGAAATCATTACGATTATCGTGATGCTAGTATTGCGCGCTATTGTTCTTACGTCTTTAGTTGCATGTTTAGGAATACCTAAATATTGAGTCCACGGAGTCCTAAGTAGACGATCTGATTATAGTTAGGACGCTGATATACAAAATTCACCTTATTGCGATACGGGTGTTGAATCGATCTATTGCGTTAAACTATTTGTATGGAACAATTTACATTTAGGCGGCTAATGACGACCGTCCGTTAGTCATCCTGGCATCATTCTCGCTATAGTACGAAGTCATGTCATGTTGCTAACCCACAAAATGTCAACGCATTCGGCGAGCGAGGCCACAAAAAGCCACCGGCTCATAGAGGTCATTTTGAATTCACCTGGCCGTAACGCGGACCGTAATGCGTTCGCGAGACTAGTTTCGCCAGGTTGAGGAAATAACTTTCTTATTACATTTTTCGTCTCATTCCATTCGATAATGCGATATGAGAGCAAGACATGTGGGGTATTATTTATGTGCGTGGAAAAAACTTGCCGGGTCATTCATTATCGCAGTGTTGTAGTGTTGAGTAGTTTTGCGTAATGTTCATAGCTGGCGCGAATTTTATCAGATTGTGTTCGGGTGAGGATTAGCGGGTGTCGGGTGGAGGCGCGGGGTGTCGGGGCGGTCGGTCGTCCTCGCGAGAAGCGAGCACAGCACGGGCGCCACTTCCACCTGACGCGTTGCCATATCTCCGCGGCGGCGCGCGCCTGCCTGCACCCGTCTCCCTCTGCGCTCCGCCTTCTCGACGCGATACAAATTACCGATTTCTTGCCCTGCCTGCTTATTGTCTAATTATTTATGCGGCCGTTTGCGGACATCGTTGCTTTTGTCGCGTGAATTTTTATTCTCGTTCGCTTTTAGTGACGCATCGGAGGCTACTAGGTGTCACACTTGGGTTCAATACACTTTACTATTCATGCATTGCGCAAATAAACTTGTAATCATTTAATTGATTCCAATGATATATACACTGTTTGTGTTATTATCAAGTTGCAAAAGTTTATTGGTCATACCTGGGCCTCGTTACATGAAGGTATGCGCGACGGCATTACAGATGTCGCGGAACCCGCGGGGTCGGTGCGCGCGCGCACTCGACCGGCTGCGCAGGCGTCTTGCGCTCATTCAACCGTTTATGAATGGTCGTAATGATTGTAACTTTCCCATAAGCGGGCCTCCGCCCAAGCTCTACTTACGTGTACTATGATTGTCTAGCTAGTTGTCGTTCTTCTTTGTTCTTTTACCTGTTTACCATTTCTTGTATAAACTGTAATGTACAGTCATAAATATGACTTGTTTATACCATTGTTTACCCTCGAAGTAACAGAATGAACTGACTGTAATAATTCATGCCATATTAATGTGTCGATACAAACTCGTAATAACTCATATTACACACATTATTTTTGTGTTAAATAAGCTAATACATATTAATCACAAAACATGAGGACGTTTTTTATTTATCATAACTCACCACGTAGCCGAGATTTTCATTGAGTGACGAAATTCAGTCCTAAGTTATTCATGGCATCTGACGAACTCGACACACGAGCCCCTGCGACCTCTGTCCCACACCCCTTATCGCCCTCTAAGCAAACATAGGACGGCTTTCATTTTATCCTGAATGTGCTCTTTCCACCACTGTTATGAATTATCTGTCTTCTAGGTCATGCTACCGAAGATATTATCTTCTCACAGTAAAAATCGTTTCGTTAATTAAAACAAGCATGTGTCCATTAATTATGTAATTGCCTGAATGGCAGTTTCAGAACGAGAATTTTTAGAAGTATATAACACGCTCAATAATTTTAACTCTAATTTTTAAAGAGAAATCACCACTAATGACATTAATAAACACAGTTGCAGTGTGTTTATTTATTTAACAATAGACCGTTATCATTTGCGTATGCTTCACTGTTTTCCTTTTGGTCGTAAATCGTCTGAATACTCACAATATTTGAATCGTTCTTAAAATTCTCATCCTCAAAGAATTTCATAGACGAAATTTTCACTTTCATTTTATTGGTTACGAGTTAAATTTTCTCGTCTGAAAGACAGGCTGTCTTGTTAATAGTAAACCGAATCCTAGAACAATAATGTCATGCTTTATTAAAGATCCAAGGTCGTAAAACCACCTGACTACGAAATTAGTAGCATATTTATCTGAATTTAGCCTTTATACCAATAAACATCTAAGTATTAATTATGTAAAATTGTTGTCTGCTCAGTTATCGGTAGCAGTTCAATCTGATGACGTAAACGAGAGCGGATGGTTTCCAATTAATTTATTGTACTTTAAATTGCTTATTACCTCGTTACGTCACTTGATATGCGTGTAAACCAGATTTAATAACAGACGCGAGTGATTTGAGCTTTTTCTAAAATTTGATTATAATTCCCAAAGACGTCACGGACCTTTCTGGACGATAAATAAAGGTTACAGATAAGAATATGCCCCGTAATGGCAAGCGAATACCTGCCCATGAACACTTGAAACACCGCTAGTATTAACGTTTAGCAACCCTTCTAAAGATTTTTATCGAAGATTTAACCCACGAGATTAGATTTAGCACTGGTGTACGATACAGTTAGTTAAGTAGAATAGATTATACTGCCTCAAAATGATAAAACAAATAGTAAACAATCTTTTAGAGGAAGATATACTTTGAATTAACAGCCTAGTTTTGTGGTAGAAGTCGTTATCTATCAGTTGATAACTTATCACATAGTTACACGCTATCAAGGGCTGAACGGTGGGTTTGTCGGTTACAACTACTGCGATAAAATTAGAATTTTTTAGCATATTTAAAAATCTATTTGACCTTTGCCTTTAATACCCCTGAAAATTTAATGAAACAATAATTATTAGAAAGGTTTTCGTTTAAACGTAATGAATATTTATTAAACTCACAAACTGTTCACACACTGCTAATAGTAGTATGTAAGTTCTTGTATTTTATCTTTGTATTTATCAGTAACAGAAATACAAAATATTCAACAGACGAAACGATACCTGCGTGCATTTATAAACAATAAGTCGACAAGATAACACTCACATTATGCTCTCGCTCGACGCAGTAATGCTCTTGCTTTCGAAATTTGAAGGCTCAGGCTAAAAATCACGAATCCAGAAGATACTAAAATATCGCTATCATCAAGCAGATAAAACACGTTGTAAGCAAAGACTGTTATGATAATGTCACGCGTAAAAATGATATCGGAATAATTACTTATTTATAACATTTTATTACGATTTTATTTGACATTATCGTTTCCTTTCTGGTAATAATTATAACCAGAATCGCGGAAGTGTCTTCGTGCTCACATGCTAATGTTATGATAATTGTCAAAAATCTTGTAATGACGTAGACACATAATGCTGTTAAAGGCATTTGGGCAATTAATTTGCCACTATTTGCAATAGTAGCTAATTAATTGCGCATATACCTACGTACATGAAACAAAGTTCATAGATTTTTGTCGTGTTTTAGTACGTACTTATTTTCTTTTAGATAATGTGGAAAAACACGATAAATCTTAAAACGCGTGTCCAGCGGCTAAAAATCAACTATTTCTGAAAACCGTATCCACTTGAAGCAGACCAAACCTGCCTGCCCTAGAAGCTTATGAGGAGCTCACTCATCCTCTTTTAACCAGTTAGTTGGGTAATACTCTCTTTTCTTGACAGCATTCCGTTTACCGCTCGTTATATTCTATGGATGTTTTTCCAGACTCAAACAAAGTCAAAGCCTTGACCTAATACCGCTTGCGTAGATCTCAACCAGATCTAATCCAAACGGATCGATTGATATACGTTGACATTTCGGCGCCAATAGCGCATGTTCTGCACACTCATTGTTAATTAAATAAAAATTTTATTGCCCATACCTTAATATATAAATGAAATCGAAAGCGCTATAAGTATTAAAAACGCCACTTCAAAGTTGGTTACTGTTTATTTTGCAACCAATCATACAGTTGTTTACAATGCAGCCGACCGCTATATAATACCACATTATCATGTGTGATAAGCGAATATTGTGGCGACGATATCTCACGCTACTTCAACACTATAAACAAATATATATGTATTTCAAGTGACGTAATAATCATCTTTTGAACACTCACAGACGTATAAAGTTTGCAATAGAAAATTATACATTACTTGTAAAATAAGTTATGCAAAACAAAGTGACTTATTTAAAAAAAGTGGCTGGTACCCTCGACTTCGTTAGCGTGAAATTTGAAAAGCACTGCCTTAGTGTGTTCAATTACCGGGCAGGGTAACATTTTATTTGGGTTTTCTTCTTATATAGACCAAGGACCTGGTAGTAAAACATTATCAAAATCGATGCAGCCGTTTAGAATTTACCCGAAGATTACCCGGAACAAACATACAGACAATGAAAATTCAACTGGTTTTTAGGCATAGGTATCGTGGAAATTATCGTGTGAGAATGAAAAAAACCTATTAATTTGACATGACAAACAGACATTTCAATTTTATTTACTTGTATAGATATCGCACTGCATTTAATTCTATGGAAACATACAATTCAGGTAGTAAGTAACCTGACGCGTTTCGGTGTGTTAGGAATAAATACATGTGTCTTCAAAAGTCTTACTCAAATTGTTGAAGAAACTTGTCATTTTTCCGCACGGAAAGTTGGGTCAAGTCGTATTACGGTACGCATTGCTAGCTAGCTGTATGTTTGTTGACATAACTCAAGGCCACGAGCATTTTACGACTTCTAAATTGATAACTGAGACGGTTGTGAATATTATGAATCGGGCGTTTAATCTTCACTGAGACACAATTACTATTTTAAATTATAGTAACACTGAACCAGATCATAAAAAAACGCTATGCACTAAATGTTTCAAGGAGGATTCATTGATGTGAAAATGAGCGCGCACTGCGACATCAAAGTTTGACGTTGAAGGCTAGCAACATTCGTCCTTCACCAGGCTCCATTGTCCTTAATCGAAGTACTTCTCCACCCACTGAATTAATTTACACTTAAGGTTTTAGTGTGTTTACACATATATTTACAAGTTTACGTACGAATTACTTGATAGCCTTGCCTAATTGAAGCCGCTTTTAAAATCAATTTAATATACTAAAATATTTTAATGTCCGCCTTCACAAATATATTTTTAATTGAGTATAACTTCATCATTTACTCTGTATATTACTTCCCCGAAGTGTTAGTGCAGGTTAAGTACGAGTTCTTAATAATTTAAGTTTTAAACTATGCTAATAGATTGTTATTTAAATGTAGATTCAAAAATTTAAAAACACGTCATCAGTACATTTTTAAAGAACCAGTCTTTAAATATTTGAGATGATATGACATCATTGGATGGGATCTTGTCATCATAAGACGTCCTTTCCTTGTTGTTACGTACTCATTCTGGGTCAAGGTTCTGTTTGTACGACAATATGAGAAGGAAAAATGTTTCAGCTTTCTTTTTTTTTTGCAATTTAGTGTTAAGGTCATATTAAAATGTTATTCATCTTCCTCATTTTGTATGACAATAGGTAAAAATAACATGATGATGAGATGATAACAAAAAGGTTTAATTCCATTAAACATAGATTCGAGTCTTGATATTTGACCTAGTTTGTCATCTATTGAGATTCGAGTCTTGATATTTGACCTAGTTTGTCATCTATTGAACCTAAGTACTGCATGTGACCCACCATTTTCAAACGCACTCCATGATTATCTCTGAGTAGATTATTGTTATTTCCAAAACTTACGATACATTTCCGTAATCTCCATTTAGAATGTGACGTTTTCCATCAGAAGGCAATTAAGGTCTTCCGCTATAATAGCGACAGCGCGGGTTGGCCGCGACCGCGGTCACGATATGTGGGTCAAGATAACAGAAGTGCTCTGTGCCCGTCCCACATTCGATGCTCGGCCACTCGACACCCAACACTGATCCTGGTCGTAACAGCAAGAAATAGTATTTGCTCAGATTTTTTGAATAAATTGCCGGAAAGAATTCAAAATAATTTAAACATAATGTTTCTTTTTGTTAGCTTTAGATGTTTTTAATACGATTGTATGTAGATGCCATCATTATTTAAAAATAGCAACTAAGATAGTGGTCAAACACTATCAAAAATAAATAATGGAAAAGTTATGAAGTTAAACTTTTATTGCAATTTAACCTGTGCATAAATAAGCTTTCCAAAACACATGAATATGAATAAAGAAAGCATTTGCATTGTTTTCATTATTCAAAGTAATATATTTCTCATGACTATGATTGAAAACACGTCTTGTTCAGGTTTCTGCGTTATATCGATCGATAAAAACAAGTCTTCACTAGCCTTTTGCTCCACTTTCGCTTTTATTGGCTAAAGGTTATTTCTACACGAAGAAATTTACTCAGTAAACCAACTCCACCCTGTCGTATTTCCTAAGTGTCTGAAAGCTTGAGAGTACAATGTGACCTATATATTTTATACTGTAAACAAGATGTACGTATGTGTTTTGTTGACAATAGTTTCCACGGCAAGTATCCAGACCAGAAACATTGTTATAACGAACGCTTTCTTCTACGAGGTACAGGATTTGCCACGGTGGTTACGGATAGTAGGGCGTATCCAAAATGTTCGTCGCCACTTCGCATGCAAGTTTTGGCCCTCGTCTCACGGAAAACAAGTTTCGCTACGTTACTGCGCCGTTTTATTATACATGCGTAACACATAACTTGGTATAACGTTTCTTGTCTACTGACTATGTACTTACCGGTACATGAAGCATAAATATTAAAAATAAACGAGTTTTGTATACGGATGTTATACATAAAAATAAATATGTAAATTAAATCGACAACAATGTTTTTAAATACTCCATTACGCTACATACAATCCAATACTCAAATACATTTTTTTTAATCCATTAACAAAGATCTAATAAATGTTCCTTTTATAATGTTAAAAAGAAATCTATGAAAACAGAAAATACATAATGGGCGATGGTGTTCAGAAATCCGTAGAATA